AGGAAGGATGTGAAGGATAAACGGAGCAGATGGGTGAATATCCACAGCACAAAGATAGACAGATAGACAAACAGATAGATAGATAGATAGATAGATAGATAGATAGATAGATAGATAGATAGATAGATAGATGTGGGAATTCTCAGCTTAAAAGCATTAGCCGTGAAAAAAGAAAAAAGGAGATGACATGTTTTGACTTTGTGGTTGAGGCTTAACCAAAGGAGAGAAAGGCAGTGTTCCCCCCTCTGTGCTGTGCATGAGAACGCCCCACTGTTCATTATTTGATGCTGGGCTGAAATGGCATGTTTTGTGGAGCTAACGAAAAAAAAAAAAGAAAAAGAAAAGATTATCGCTTTATTGACCGCAGTCATTCCACTGTAAACCCACTGCCAGCGACTTTGGAGAGGAGAAGTGGACAGCTCACTATGATTCAGCTAACTGAGCCATTTAGTTAAAACAGACCATTAACAGTTTTCAGCCAGAGGGACTGTAATGACATTAATAAAGGATGGCAAGAGAAAATTAAACACCTCATGGAATTGTTTATTTTTCAAGCGCGGCAGCGATTGACGGTCAAAAAGGCATCTTCATTTTTCTCTTCAAGTCTTTTTGACCCACTTTTCTTGATTTGTTTGTCCTTCCTCCTTTGTTCCTGGATTGAGCTTAATTGTGAATTCTGTGTGAGCGTGCGAGAGAGAGATAGAGAGAGAGTGTGTGTGTGTGTGTGTGTGTGTGTGTGTGTGAGTGTGAGTGTGTGTGTGTGAGTGTGAGTGCTCCCACTTCTATTCTTGTGAGAACCAGACTGAGAAATCCTTGCTCAGGTTATAGAGGAAGGATGATGGGTGGGATGGGGGTTAGGTGAGGCATGCGGTGGTGAGGCTTGTGGTTTTTGGGTTTGGGGAGAAAAGGTTTGTATGTAGAACATTTTAGCACCTCAACTAATGCACTGGACGGGAAAAAAATTGCACTTGTGTCCTTGTGGACAGAACACACAGACCTCATACTAATACCGCTGGAACTGCTGGACCTCAGTCACGCTACTGATAGCAGTGACTTCCTGTCGGCTAGAGATAACCATACATGAGCCCATTTATATTCAATGTAAAGAAGGAGCCTCTTCTCACCTCCTCACAGTGATCAATTAAAAGACCTTTTTTTATTCTTGTCTGCACATAGGCGGGAACTTGAAATAGCTAAGAGAGCGCTGGTTTCCATTGGCTGAATGAACGCCTCAGGTGTGACCCCAAACCTACCCGTCGCAAATGGAGATAAGAAAAAACAATACGGGTGGTGGAATCATTGAAAATCCATTTTACACTGTCATTACTGATCATAGACTGATATCTGTGAAAACCACACAGGCAAAAATCAAATTACGTTTAATTTTTCTTGTATATAGAACCGTGTCCATCCAACATACCAACATGATATGTTATTGTGGGATGATGTGTATTTGCTCATGTTCCCTTAGAAATAGACACACCTTCACCTAAAGCAGTACTTAACACAGCTGTAACACAGTGTTATTGTGCATTTTGAGTTTTTTTTAAATCTGTTTTTGGTCTCCACCAACTCCTGGAGGAAATATCCGGCTCTCTGGTGGTTAAATGCTCCACTTTGTTCACCAGCTAGTTGCCAGTATTGTCTGTCTGCTGCTGCTGCTGCTGCTGCTGCTGCTGCTGCTGCTGCTGCTGCTGCTGCTGCTGCTGGGCTGGTAGCTTACAGTGGCTGCTTTCAGCTACAAACAGCCGCCTGCTTTCAGCTAGAAACAAAGTTAATCAGACTGTGTCCAAAACAGTAAAGTTGTGGCTGTAAACGTAAAGCGACTGAATAACACTAAAGCACAGGTGATAATTGTCTGATAAGCGACACCTTCTGCAGTATGTAAAGGCCTTCAACCCTTTGTCAATGCAGACATGTTGATAAAATGTTTTTCTGTCAGTGAAACCTGCAAAACAATCCAACACAGTCCTCATCAAGACCACAGCTGATTAAGAATTCTGCAGGACATATTATATAATGTATAATGAGCAAATAAGTCCCCCCCCCCCCCCCCCCCCCCCCCCTTCCTCGTTAGAGTGGACCTCAATTACATGTCAAATTTCTGTGTAATTTAAAGGATTATGAGAAATTCTTCAGGTGCAAACTCTAAGCAAGAGCCTGCCTTTGATCTGCTTCATCAGGCTGTGAATGCGATAAAGCAACGAAAAATGACTCATTTATTCAGGAACTGTGTGCTGAGGCTTTGTGAGGTTCTTAATGAGTAATCTTCCATGTTCTGTTGGAATCTTTAATAAGTGCCATTTAATGACTGAAACACATTGTGTGGTAAGTCATTAACTTTGAAAGCAACAGTGATTGCTTTTGAAGGATTAGGACGTTTTTCTTTGCATTTAAATGCGTGGCGTTAATTTTTCTGGAATTATCGTCTTTGCAGTCAAGAGATAAAGATGAGATTAGAAAAATGTCATTAATGAAAAGATTTCTCTGCAAGCTTTTTAGTATTTTGTGCGTGTGTACCACAACTCGACTTAACACTGGCTGTTATATGCTGTAGCTCAAGTGCAAACAGACAACTACAGACAAATGCCAGTCATTTGATGTTAGTGTTGTCACGTCTCTGATCCTCTTCTGATACAGATCAATCATGACAGGGGGACAGACAGATAATGCCTCCCCTGGCGGCGAAAATGTCCCCTTGCATGTGCTCTTTTTTTCCGACAGCGTCTTAACATTAACCTCATCATGTGTCAGACCGCTAAACTATTTGGAGTGACAGCACATTTTAGGGCACAGAAGAGTCACAATTCATTGCTGTTGTGCAAACAAGCTACCAACCATTATGGGCATCCACCATTAACCTCAAGTCATTTTTTTCCTCTAATTGCTACTTGGAGGGTTTTTGTGAACAGGATTTTCCAATCTGAATCCATATTTCTAGACAAGATCCATTTTGTCATGAATAAAGCTTTCCAGTACTTGAGTGATGTACTCGCCAGCCAGCTTGATAATTTAAATCATCCCAGAGCATGAAGTGTAATTTTGTTTGTTTTGTTTTGCATGTCTTTTAGTAACTGTTTTTTGATAGTCCTCAAAAATTTTTGATGCTTTTGTTTTAAAAACCAACAGTGAGCTAGAGGCATTTCAGGCTCCGTGGGGAAGAAAAGTTCTAACAGCAATCTGTCTTCTTGAAGGAAGAAAAACTAGCAAAATACAGATGAAAACAACAGGAACATATCTTATTTATGAAACATATTTTCTTCTTGTCACCTAAAGTAGTGATTCTCAAGCAGGCGGAGTGCTTGTACCCTGGGAGGTTCTTCTGCAGTTGACAGTGGATATGTGAGAACACTAATTTGGAAAAATAGACATTACTATTTGATTAAGAAGTCCAGATATTGAGTCAGCTGTCAGCACATGGTGGGAGGTCTAAATAGTGAGCTAAAAGTATTTTTGATAAATGGTTGAAACACACAAAAAAGTAATGAATAAACAGTTCAAGTGGTTTGCCGAAAGCAAGGATAAATGATTGCAAATAATTAAAAGCACTGGATAAAGAGTTGAAATAGTTAGCTAAAAGCACTGGATACATGGTTTAAATAGTTAGCTAAAAGTTTGTCTGAAGGATAAATGGTAGAAATAATATTACTAAACAGTTGAAACAGTTAGCTAAAAGCACTGGATAAACGGTTGAAACAGTTAGCTAAAAGCACTGGATAAACGGTTTAAATAGTTAGCTAAAAGCACTGGATAAACAGTTGAAATAGTTAGCTAAAAGCACTGGATAAATGGTTGAAACAGTTAGCTAAAAGCACTGGATAAACAGTTGAAATAGTTAGCTAAAAGCACTGGATAAACGGTTCAAATAGTTAGCTAAAAGCACTGGATAAACAGTTGAAACAGTTAGCTAAAAGCACTGGATAAACGGTTCAAATAGTTAGCTAAAAGCACTGGATAAACAGTTGAAACAGTTAGCTAAAAGCACTGAATAAACGGTTGAAATAGTTAGCTAAAAGCACTGGATAAACGGTTGAAATAGTTAGCTAAACGCACTGGATAAACAGTTGAAATAGTTAGCTAAAAGCACTGGATAAATGGTTGAAACAGTTAGCTAAAAGCACTGGATAAACAGTTGAAATAGTTAGCTAAAAGCACTGGATAAATGGTTGAAACAGTTAGCTAAAAGCACTGGATAAACAGTTGAAATAGTTAGCTAAAAGCACTGGATAAATGGTTGAAATAGTTAGCTAAAGGCACTGGATAAACAGTTGAAACAGTTAGCTAAAAGCACTGAATAAACGGTTGAAATAGTTAGCTAAAAGCACTGGATAAACGGTTGAAATAGTTAGCTAAACGCACTGGATAAACAGTTGAAATAGTTAGCTAAAAGCACTGAATAAACGGTTGAAATAGTTAGCTAAAAGCACTGGATAAACGGTTGAAATAGTTAGCTAAACGCACTGGATAAACAGTTGAAATAGTTAGCTAAAAGCACTGAATAAACGGTTGAAATAGTTAGCTAAAAGCACTGGATAAACGGTTGAAACAGTTAGCTAAAAGTTTGTCTGAAGGATAAATGGTAGAAATAATAATAATAATTACTAAACAGTTGAAACACTTAGCTAAAAGCACTGGATTAATGGTTGAAATAGTTAGCTAATGGGCAAATTGTTGATACTGCTAGCTGCAGGTTGAAAGAGATGCTAAAAGAGTTAAACAGTTAGCTAAACATGATGGATGAAAAGTTGAAATACTTAGCTAAAAATAACAGATATATTGTTGAAATAGATGGCTAAATGATTTGGTTTAAACAGTTAAAACTACTGGATTAGTTCAAATATCTAATGCAAAACTTAGAGTAGCTTAATGTACCAAACACTTGTATGAAAACATTTTATAACATCTATTTTTAAGTCAATTCAAATAAACATCATTTGGAACATGATACTTGGGTGTTGATGAACGGGTTGAACCGACAGTATGTCTGCCTCTCTCTTCAGGTGTCATCAGAACAGCTCTGCCTAACATGGACCGGGAGACGCGGGACCAGTACGTACTTGTCATCCAGGCCAAAGACATGGTCGGCCAGATGGGTGGCCTCTCCGGCACCACGTCTGTTACTGTCACGCTCACGGACGTCAACGACAACCCGCCTCGGTTCACTCACAGTAAGACTCCGCTCCCGATTGTCAGCAAAATTACTCAATGGCTCAAAAATTCTCAGGCCACTATTATGGTTTGCTCTCGCTTAATACATGCCCGGTTTTCTCAACCCAAGTCCACATTTGGACGGATTCTTCCACACACACACAAACACACACACACACACACACACACACACAGGGAATCTTCCTGGCTGTCTGACAGCACTGGAGGATAACAGCCCAGATGTGGAAGTATATGGGCCAGACTCGGGTCAACGACGTGGGCATATGTTGGGCCAGTGTAAGGCCAATTAAGCTCGACAGTACAGTACAGTCCATGCCTTTTCTTTCTTTTTTCAACAGCTACTCAGCAATCAGAATATAAACCAGCATCTCCTTGCTTCATTTGCAGTGTTTTTTTTTTTTTGTTCCAGCTGAGTGGGCTTTTAAAGACCTATTATTGCTGAAAACCCACTTGAACTCGGAGAACCAAATGAGGGCACACTCTGTACTGTATACAATGAATGCAGAGGGCTGTTATTCTACACTTGAGAAGACGTCATTGGAAAATAAAATAATAAAATTTGCTGTACTATCTGTAACAACGCTGAAGAATTATTTTTCCTGCAAAGTGAGGGAGAATATAATGCTCATTAAAACCTCGTCATTAAGGTTTTGTTAACCCCATTCCCTCTTTATCTTTGTTACTACCCTCGATTTGTATTTTCAGCAAATATTTTGACTTTTTTTTTTTTTTTTTTTTTTTTTTTTATGACCAAATTAAAAAATGGCCTTCCTGCAAGGTGTGCACCTCCCTGCTTTACTCTTCATCAGAGCTGGGGCTGCTTCGGCGTTGGATACCAGGATCAATCAGGCTCCGTTTTTTTGTTGTCAGCCTATTTCACGGGCTGCTAATGGGTTCCAGGCCGAGCTTTAGGATTCAAAGGCATGCAGCGCTTCTCATGATAATCCGAAGCGCCGGCAATCGGTTTACCGCTGATAGCCCAACCACTGTCTGGCTGGTGCACTCACCACTGGACTGCAATGAAGTCGAGTCAATTTGCTGGCCCCTGGGGGGGAAAGAAAGGTTCGAGTTTGCACAACAAGTCATCAGTGCCGTTTTATCCCAGTGCTGTCACACTGGGAAGAAAGGGACTTTGGAGGAGTTCTGGGTTTCGCTCCTGCTGTCGCTCCTCGCAGGGTCATGGGTCAGAATCGATAGACCATTATGGAGCATCAGAGCTGATAGAGTCCAGGAGCCATAGGTAGTCCTTGGTAGAAACGAGGGGAAAGAAGCCAAGGTTAGCCGCATGAGAGGACAGGCTGGGGTGGGGGGTGGGGTGTGGGGGGGGGGGAGGGTAGGTGCAGGGGCAAAATGGAGGGAGGAAAGCAATTTTTTGGTCTTTTAAAGAGCTGCTATTCCACGGCAAATTAAAAAGCCATTATAAAGATTACATGGCGGCAAACAATGTCAGGCAGATTAGCATTTAGACGGTGGCTGAGGGAGACACTGTGAGGAACACAGAAAGGTCTGGTAATGAGCTCTGCCATGGTGATTGGGGAGGTTATGATTATGAATATGATTCCCTGCTTTATTCTTATAAGAGTACTTTAAATCAGAAGGGTCAGACAAAAGCTCAGGGAACACAATGGAGAGTTTCCGAGTAATAGAATCTTTGAGTGGACATTTCATCCCTTGAAAGGTATCAAAGGGATCTAACTGTGCTTCTTTTTATTTATTTATTTATTTTATTAATTCTCACTTTCTATTTTTTGTTTGAAGGCATAACCCATTACACCAAGACACCATTCAGGAAGCTGTATAGTTTGCTAAATATATTCTTCCAGCTGTAAAAGTTGTAGAAATGTGAGAACAGAAATTGGTGTGCTCTCTTTCTTAATTGCATATTTTACTTTTCCTCCTCCGCTGCCTATGCTGCAGTAAGAAAGTGAAAGCAGAGTGCTTTATTCCATATGTGTCACCGCTGCTGCCTGTCTGTGTTATGCAACATTTGAGGAGCCAGACAGCCAAATCAAAGCTGAAGGGGTATAACAAAAGCCCTGCTGCTTGAAGGTGAGTTGGTAGCGAAATAAGCACATCCATTACCAACATCCGCTCCTGTCCATCCTTTTTCAGAGAGCTATCAGTACACAGTGCTGGAGTCGCTGCCGGTGCAATCTGTGGTGGCCAGAATCAAAGCGGCGGATGCTGATATAGGCTCCAACGCAGAGATGGACTACAGGATCATGGACGGAGACGGGCCTGGCATGTTCAACATCACAACAGATGAGGACACACAAGAGGGGGTCATCATTCTCCTGAAGGTACGGCATGAACAACAGACTGGTTTTCACACCATAAATAGGAACACACCGGTGAGGAATGAAGAACCTTGGTTCAGTCAGACTGTGAATAGAGCCTGCGGGGAATATTTCTGTTGGAATCTGAAGCCTTTGTACCATGACTTGCTCCCCATAAATGGCCCTGAAACCCTCCCCTCTGAAAGTCAGCCAGACATATAGGTAAATGTTTTCAGGCTGTTGGGTAAAGCCATGTTCACAAGCAGCTGGTATGGCATTCAATGTTGCGCCTCTGCTTATACACTTATCCCTGTGTAATATATTCCTTTTTTCTGCCTGAAAAATACACCACAACATCAAAAGGGTACGTTTCCTACCTGCTACCTATACGTATACATATAGTACATATAGGCTGCCAGATCTTTGGTATTATGTGCTTTGTGTAAGGTGATATTACCAACTTTCTCAGGTTACTAAGAAAGCTATATTTATCTATTTGTGTTCGGAGGGCATGTCTTACATATTACACTGTGGAAAAAATAATGTAGCTAACCCATAGAAGAATATATCTCGACTTTTCATGGTGAAACATTTAACGATAAGGCTTGCAATATATATATATTTTTTCTTATCATCGATAAATTCTATAAAAAAGACCAAAAAAAACCAACAATGAATTGATCCAACTAACAAGTATTCTCTGCGTACCTGAAACCTAATATACGGTAGCTTATCCTTCTGTGCTGTAAATCTCCAAAAAAAACGTATTAAATAGACATCAGTGAGGCGCGCGCTTGCACTAGATGACATGTAACTTTATTAGGGTGAACATGGGGACTGTAGTTTTTGAGTCAGTCCCTCATACACCATCCTGCTGAAAGTGTGCTATTGTTTACTAGCATTTTCATAGAAAACCACATTACTCAGATGCTTCGGGAACCGTACTGGGGCCTTTTTTTTTTTAAATAAAGTTATATATTCTAAGTCAAGATGGACTAACACGTTATAGGTTTTGATCCAATAATGTCACTTTTTTTGCTTCTTTAAAAGCTTTGTAGTTGAATAACACCACACTGGCACAAAACTATAGCATCACACAGGAAATGGTGCATTTTTTTTTTTGTTGTTTCTGGATCCATCCTGTCTGTTTACTGCAGGATATTAGTCCAACTTGTCTCTCGCAGTTTGCCTCTCTCTCCTCTTCGTCTGTCTCGCGCTGTTTCAAAATGTCTCCTGCACCTCCGGATTAAGTGATGATCGCTAATGACAAATCAACATTGACTATCTCCAGCACCTTTGATCGAAGTAAACATCCCACGGTCACTCAAAGCTTTGCCGCCGTTAACAGCTCCAGACTTGCAGAACCAACAGGCGGCACAGAGACCACTGTAGTGATTGACGGAGGTTGCCTAAACAACACTCCACTCACCATGGGAACCAAGATGCTATAAATATTGTCTTTGACGTCCACCCACTTATATAAAATAAAACTTCTCAACTTAAATGTGTAACAAAGTCACTTATTCATTTATACAGGAAACGTGTTGCACATTCTTGCCTCATTTTTGGACGCTTCAGAGCTCATGGCTCATGCGTCACATTTTCAGGGGTGTCAGAGGACTTGAAATGGTCTCCTCGGGCCACATGGATGTGACAGTTTAATGCTGCAGCTCTTTTGTGGGGAGAGAAAGAGAGTGGCATGGTTGGGCACTAGCAATTCTTGTCAGATGGGCCAATTTGATCCCTTTGTTTGTTTTGCACCAAACTCAGACAATTACAACACTGGAGAGCGTCACCGACAATGAAAGTGTCAAATCAATGTTCTCCTGCAGTATATTATGTGTTGCAATGGGGAGTTCAATAAACCACACAAAATGACAAAATGTTTTTAAAAAAAAACAACATTTATTTCACAACACTTTTCACAATATGCTGTGCCTTTCTTAAAATCAATATAATTGCTTTCACAGCACAAACTTGCTATAATCTATCAGCAAATGACTTTGTTTAAGTCTGACTGCATTTTAAATTGTAATGGGTCTTTAGAGTCGACATCCTTAATTGGGATCAATATCTCAGATTTCGATGGATGATTTACAGATTTACATACATCAGCTGCTGCTTCACCCTCACCTGTCTGATAGCGTGGAGTAGATATAACGTTGCCGTCCTTACATTTCCAACCAAACAACACATTTTTTGCCGCCTCACAGCTCACCTCTCTCATTTTGACAAGAAAAGTGAAGATTCCTCCCGTACATTGTGTCACCCTTCCTGTCTCTCTCCTCCTCAGCCTCTCGACTTTGAAACAAAGAGCAGCTTTTCCCTGAGAATCGAAGCCACGAACAGGAACATTGACTCCAACTTCTTGAGCTTGGGCCCATTCAGCGACACGACGTCGATCAGGGTGACGGTGGAAGACGTGAACGAGCCGCCCGTCTTCTCCGCGCCACTTAGCAAGATGGTTGTTTCGGAGGACGCCAAAGTGGGCACCTCGATCGGGAGGGTCTCTGCCCATGACCCAGACACCTCCAACAGTGCCATCAGGTACTAACGATTTGCTCACATGCTATCACACAGTGGTACAAACCTTAAAAACTATCTGTCCTCTCAGCCACTTGGATGAGACTATTTTTTCAAGAGCTGCTTATTATAGAATAAATGTACTGAAATTCCCCCGAGGATCCTAATAAAACCAGAGCAAAGACGACTAATAGGTTAATCCATTCAACTTCTCTCTCACATTATCTACAATCACAAAGAATCTGTAGCCCCTCAAAAGTCCCTGTGCGGCTGCCACAAGGACACCGCCAGATGGGTGGAGGGCCAGAGAGTGCAGCATTTGCAAAAGTGAAATGCCATCTTGAACAAGAGAAGGGCATTCCTGCAGGAGGGTCAAGGCTTCAACACTTTGTGCCGTGGCATTTATGAGTCAAAAACAAGCTCTCACGCTGCCAATCTGTGCAGTGTCACTCTCAAGATCCCCACCTATTTTGCATTAATTGAATGAATATTGTATGGAATTCATGCTTGGTCTGTTAGGACTGTTAGTAATCTTAATCAGAAAATCAAATTACTGCACCATTGTAGCTGTAAATTGACTCTTTTTTTTCTCCTGTGACTGTTATCAGCGTCTGCAATATATTTCACTACATCTGTTGAAATTACAATTATTGCGGAACTAATGCAGCCACAAGAGTCAAATTACATTGCAATAATACCCTTTGGATGTAGGCTAATTGAAGTTGTAATTTTCTCTAGAAATACGAGTTGCTGTGTATTGAAAGGGTTTGATCAGTGTTGTGTGCTGAGGGACAAGTAGACAGCTTTCAGTTTTATCAAATTTTAATAGGGTTTTGTTTCGTTCATTCTATAAAGTTCCAAGTTCCTGTTGCTTCTCTGAATTTCAAGTGATCTCTACACTTGCATTAATGATCTGCACTCGAAAAATGAAAGCAAAATCGTACATGCTCATTGATAATTGATTAAAGCTTTTACCGTATCAAGAGTAAGTGTTGCAGTTTGATGAAAGAAAACCATTATAATCTTTCCTTACGAGTAGAAGAACACTTGATTGTCGGATCAATACCACTATCCAAAAGCAATTTTTTTTTTTTTTTTTTTTAAAGTATGACAGTTGTGTGTTTGTGTCCAGGTACTCCATCGACAGGAACACAGACTTGGAGCGCTTCTTCAACGTGGACGCTCTAAGCGGGGTCATCAGCACGGCCAAGCCTCTGGACCGAGAGGCCAACTCCGTCCATAACCTCACCATCTTGGCCATCGAGAGCCGTAAGTTTACTTAACAGCAGCTGCACTTAACAGCTTTTCTTAGCTCGAATAAGATGGTGCAGCTAAAAAACAAAAAACAAAAGTGTAAAGATTTAAGGATCCAAGATGTTGTTTCTGCTCTAAAATAAGCTGCAAGCTACATTTAGTAGCATTTCATTAACTAACTACATTAGTTTGAGGAATTAGGCAACATATTTCCTCGCTATGTGAAGCCTGTTCTTGGATGCTATCAGAATTCAAGCTTACGTTAGCATCTCTGTCCTGCTCTTTATTGAATTTTGGGAAGTTGACACCTCATTTAGTGAAACACTCGACAAACACGCTGGTTATGCTTCATTTTAAAAGCCAGTTCTTGTAACTTTAAAGTAAAAAACATATTGTTAGCTTAACAGAGTAAAGGCTGGTAAGGAAGCTTTCGCCTGTTAGCTTTAGCCTCGGCTTGAGTAGCGCTAAGACGTGCGTAGCCACCAAGTTCATATTTAATACTTTTTTACAAGATCCACATATTAAAACAAGTCAAATGTAAAAAAAAAAAAAAAGTTTTCCACCAACTCATGCCGCTAACGTAGCTTAATTAGCAAGCTAGCTACAGCTGACGCCACAGACAGTTGTTATTTTAACTGATGGTCGCCGGCTAGAAATGAGAGAACCGCTTTTATCCACCTCTGTCTGAAAAACAAAAGCCCACAGTTTGAAAAATAACTTAGAAATTTGAGCGGTAGCCTCAATCTGCCACTGGGGTTTAGCAAATGGTCAATTAGCTTGTTAGCTTGTCACTTGAGAAAGTGAACCCCTTAGATCCCTTCTGTGCTGTTACCCCTCGTCACAATATCCCACAGCCTTGTCTGTCGTGGACAACGCAATTGTTGGGGTCACTGTGGGGCTGTCGGGGAATGTTAATTCACGCGCAGGACAGTCGTTTTGACCTCCATGCCTCCCTGAGCCGTGGGGACGAGATGCTGACTAAGGGTGGGCGATCTCACCCACGGGTGAACTATGCTAATGCGATGTGAAGAAGTGCCTCGTGCCTTTTTTTTTTTTTTTTTTGTTCATCTCTCAATGGCTCCAAGGACACGAGAAGTGCCTTTTTTCTTCTTCTTCTTTTTTTTTTCTCTCTCTCTCCTATCATTTCACTGCCATCATGCAAACACAATTGACAACAATCATCTGCACACGATCCGCTGAGCGCTCTAGACAGCTGCATCACATCAGTATAAGTTAAAATAGACAACCAGCCTGTCAGCCTGGCAGTTCCTCTGCTTTCACATCTTCAGACTGAGCACAGTGTGAAAAAGGGTCTTCATTTTTATTTTTTTATTTTTTTTAAAACCTTTTTTATCACTCTTTGCTTCAAAGATGTGTTTTTATTTACATCTAACAGCACACAGACACACTACTTGGTTGATTCCCGAGTGTGAGCGCTTGCCTGATATAGCAACAAAGAGAAGGCAGCATATAATAATAGCCATATGAAATGTCACCACAGTCCCTCATGCATGAGGTAGTGGCTTCTGACACATAGTGACACTCAGGCACTGTTTTCAGCTGAGAACATCTTTTGAGTTCATGGACTGGCAACAAAATCCACTGCCCTGTTCGCCTTATGACAGTATTTATAGTAAATGGGCTCTTTGTAACTGAAGAGGTTGCGGGGACTCTTTGGTTGAGGGATGCTGTGCATTTGAGCTGCAGTCACTCACATTTCATCCGCTCTGCCCAGACCACGCCAATGACAACAAGACTGTGGCCCGAGGCTCCACACGTCCTTTTTATCACCATCAAATCAGCCGGCCCGAATGTCAGCGCGTCATCTCTGGCTGGCATGGCGGCGACGCCAGGCTAAATCATCGTCTTGCACTCAGACGCAGCCATTTAGCCATCAGTGTGTGTCAGGCAGACAGAGGCGTGAAGCCCACTGTTCGCACATGCAGCCCCCCCCCACCACCACCACCACCACCACCACTGACAACAACCCCGCACTGAGTGTAATCACTTTGGCTTATCCACAGCAGAGTGGGTAAGGACGCCAGCTGTTGGGAGCACACTGCATATTTCATTACAGCAGCACTTTTTTTTCTTCCCCTCCTCCTTTGTGATTAATTAAAAAACATGAGAAAGATCAATATTCCATAATTTGGCCAAGTGCATCAACGCAAAGTTAAGGCAGAATTAAAGTGTTTAAAAGAAAGTTTGCTGAACGCTGTGACATAAAAAGGGACTCTCTCCTCTCCTTCTCTTTCAGAGGACCCAACCCAAATTGGGAAAGGCATCTCTCTCATCACAGTGCTGGACATAAATGATAATGCCCCGGTCTTTGCCATAGACTATGAAACTCTCCTCTGCGAGAACGCCTTGCCAGGACAGGTAAGACCCATGTCTCTGCAGTTGGTCCAGCTTCCCTTCCTTTTTTCCTCCTTGAAGTCTGACAGCCTGCTGACTCTCAAAGCCATTAAAACTCTTTCTTGTTCCTCAAAAAAAAAAACAAGTCCACCGTGCACGTATCCACTCCGCAGCTCGAGGTCATTCCAGGGAGGGACGGCATCATTAGTATGAAACACATCCTTAAGATTTGATCGCAGGTATCGTTGGTGTTAGCGTTCATTAGAGACGTTACTCTCATTCCATTCTGTCAGAGCCGACTAAATTAATGATGGTGCTTGACTCTGCTTGCGGTCCTAGTACACAGTAATATGACATCGTATTGTGATATCTCATGCTGGGATGGAGTGGCGTCTTGCCGCGGTGTGGCTTTTTCATTCTGAAAGCCCTTTGTAATTAGACAATCACCGCGGAGGGCAAAAGAGCAGAAACTGTATCACAACATCATGAAAAAGGGGAAGGAACCTGGGAGATTTGGTGGATGGAAAAGAAGCCACAGTCTTGTATCGCATTTTTTCCCCGTGCTTAGCATTTGGCCTTATTGTTGCTAAATGACTTGTGTGTCTGCGGTGGCGATTCGTCTGCTGTTGGCATTTGGAAAATACAATCAGAGGCGAAGGGTAAAGGAGGCGTGTAGACCTGAATAAGTACAATTGATCACAATGATGCATTGTTTTGGAAATGGCTATTAGGCCCTTTTAAATATGTTATTTGCATTCATATTTCAGACTTGTTTGTCACCGTGCTCACGGTAGGGTGAACAAAAATGGCAAATGATTTCATTTGCAAAAATGAGAGACTATATTTCATGTGTGCATTTGTTTTGCTTTTTCTCTTTCTTTTTTTTTCTTTTCTGTGTGCATGATGCTTGACCACAGTGAGGTTATACAGTGCCTTACAGGTATTCTGAGTTTCCAGGCTTTTGTTTGTTGTGTTGGCTTTTTGAGGTGTGTTTATGTTTGTCTCGTATTTGTTTTGTTAAAATCACACTAAAGACAAACAAAGTGAAGTTCAGTAAATACAGCTCAACCTACCTTCAGGTATTTTGAGATATTATCAAATTTAATTGTAATTCATTAGATTTTGGCTTTAGGGTACAGAGTATTTGCTGGAATAAACATTGATTGTCTGTTAGTAGTTATTGAAGAATGCATTCTACCACAGCTGAATGTCTATTTTTTGGTTAATGACCCTGCCACTTATTCTCAGATGAGTGTTGTTCCTCAGTGACATCAAATTCAGAGCGAACACAAGCGACTATCTATCACCCGTCAATACAGCCTGACTTTCAAATTCAGCAGATAATTTGAACATTTCTCCGCACTAGCGCCTGATAAATTACGGCAAAGAGACTATGACAACACTGAAACAAAGTCATTCCCCAACAATCAAACCGGGCCCCGGGACATAGCAACGGCCACGGCCCATGACAGCATCATCAGCAGGAAAAGGTACAGCAAATCTGTAATTACTCAGCTGAAGCAGACAGATTGCTTACTCAAATTCCGGTGATAGCTGAGCTGTGAGGTCTGCCCTAGGTATAGCTAGGAGCTGCTCTGCTGTAAAGCGAGGAGCTGCTGGTGACGGAGGCCTCTGTCCTCATGCACCCACCGAGCCGACGTGCTGCATTCAGATTCTTTCCACATAGTCTTAAAGTGCTGCAGACATAAATGGAAGTCAGCTAGTGACAGTGAAGACAGTCCCGTCACACAAAATACAGTGTGTGGGGGAAATGGTTTTACCTTCATTTTAAATTCATCTGAAGTGAAATCTTCCAAAGTAGATTAAAAACCTTTTTTACCCAAAGAACAGGCATTTAGTTAATTGTTCAGTTAGCCAGCTAGTTAGCAAGTTAGTCACTTAATCTGAATTAACCACCAAAAAATATAAAAAATCACTGGATACACGATTTATAAGTGAAAAAACAGGCTAACAGTAATGAAACTGCATTCAGTCGTTTCATTGTTGATTATCATTTTTCATGTTTTCACATGTAAAATATGCAAAAATGTGGTATTTCACAAATATAAATGCCCAAAACCCACGTCTTTTTTCATATGGGAAAATGTCAGAAATGTAAAATCACATCGTATATGTAAATTTACACATATGATACTACATGTGAAATTGTTTTTTTTACATGTATCATCAACATTTTCTGAAATACAAATGTCGATACAATATGCAAATTTTATAATTAAATATAAAATACAGAAAGGGATAGGGTACAAAATTTAGGCAGTAATTAGAGCAATATGCATTCTTATTCTAACAATCATATCTTACATTTCAAATACAAATAAAAGCACAAAAGCTCAAGTGAAATTCATAAAAATCTATGTTTTCACATGTAAAATATAATATTCCATGTGAAAAAAAGATATTTGTCTGTATTATGTTTGTTTTTTTCACATGTGAAATGTCCAAAAATCACGTCTGTATATGAAGTCATCACATTTATCACGTGTCGATCTTATAAAAGAGAGAAGAGGGACAATGTATGAAATTTACTAAGCAAAAAGATAAATATATATTTTATTACATGGTGAAATACCAAGAAAAAACACAAGTTAAGTGTAATCGACATTTCATATATATGTATATATATATTTCATTCTGTTTTACATATATTACATGTGCAATTATTGTATTCACATTGAATTTCTTACATTGCACCTTGCAAATATCTGAAAACCCCGTGTGACGATATCATATTTAAATTCACACCTTTGTCCTCAGTTTTAGAGTTACTGCTGCAGACAGGACGTCCTTGTTCTCATTTTTGTTTTTCACTAATTCAAATTTCTATTCAGTCCCATTCAAATACAGTCTTCTGTTTAGGCAACGCTGAAGTGTGCCGGTGGGATTGCACCCTCCGACTGAATAATGAAGGCAGGCAAAATGAAAATTTCATGATGAAATTTACACCCAAAAACACATACAGAGCAAATGGAAAGAGAGAGGTTGACATTTGAATGCGAAAGCACGCTCTGAATTACAACTAGGTGTCGGCTGTCTGTTAGCCGACAGACTGGGTGGACTTGTAACCTGTCAGATGTGCGCTCCACCACCTCCCTGATTCCTAATTAATTAAAATGCTCCTGTTGTGTACTGTGTGTCCGGCAGCAGCATTGAACAGTTGGTTGTTCTGGCTGTGTCTGTAAGCTTTGTTAAAAATCTTAGGCCGCCCACTGGCTGTCACGCCCATTGGCTTATTCACAGCTGCGACAAAGATGAAATAATATTTGCCAGTCGGGGCCAGAGTTGACTCTGTGGCTCTGTAGCACAGATTAACAGGGAGTGCAGGGATGGAATAACCTGCCATTTTTCAGGCCTAATTAAGGCAGTCTCGTGGCACTGGCTCTCTCCAGAGATGCCACTTGTTACGGATCATCGGTGCGTCTGTCTTCTGCCATAATATTAACTGATATTATGATGGGGCAGGGGCATTGGGAATGATTGGGGACGCGGGGTCACGTTGTACAATCACTTCAGTGTAACCATTACATACATGAGTAGACTTGGCATTCTGCTGCCCCCAATCTGCTCCCTTGCCCCTCCCTGCAGTCCCGCGAGCGTCCCCGGGGAGGTTCGGCGTCCCCGAGGCATTTGTGAATGTTGGGTAGTGTAGAACAAGAGGTTTTTACAGCTGCAGTGGGAAAACGTGAGGGTAAAAACCAATGTCCATAAATAAGGATCCTTAAATTCCAGACGCTCTTTTATAACTCCAGAAACCTGCCTGAGAATCATCACACTTTTAAGATTTCATCAGTATCACAGTAATCCGGTGATAGTTGCCTTTAAATCACTGCCAACAGGAAGTGTTAATAGCTACTGCAGCGTACTTATAGTAGTATAATAGTTCCACAACTTAAAGCTTGATTATCCCCAGATTTATTCTGGCGTAAGTTAAAAATAGACGTCCTTCTCCTGTGAACATACAGACAGGAACCTCAAACTATTTTAAATTACAGTGGAGGGAGGCCCCTCACCCCCACCCGACCCCCCACCCTCCCAATCACAACTACCTTACTTACCACTTCATAACTACCGCCTCAACTGTCGCATCAATCACACAAACAACAAAAGATATCTTCACACCAGCAGCTGTCATTAGAGGTGTTGCATCAAGGTGGGAGTTGAAAACAGATATGTCAAGACGCAAGGGACGCGGAAAACATTAGTGTGTGGCATCATACTGTCTGCTCTATAAAAACACTGAACATGGAGCAAATTTAATCTCAGATCTCACCAGGAGATCACTTTAGCCTCAGCAGTTCCACCTTGTCAGGATCATGCCAGCAAACAACAAACACGGTTGTGACGAGATGAATCGCGGCGAACGAACGGTTCAGATGATCGATGTGAAATGAGGGAGAGCCGGCTTCGGGAAAAAAAAACAAAAAAACAGATGAAATGAGATTGAAAGATGACATTTGTTGAATGGCATATATTGATTGCCCTTAAAATCTATACGTGCGCATGTGTGTGTGTGTGCATGTGAGAGAGAGAGAGAGAGAGAGAGATGACAGCCGGGGGAGGGGGGTGCTGCTGATCGAAGTTACGGGTGTCACATGCGGGTGATGTTTCGGGGTGTCGATGTCATAGGAAGCCGGCGCCGGAGCAGCGGAGAGTGAGGGGTGTGAAAACCGCAGGCCCACCATTTCCTCCGACAACACAACCCGTGGTGACAGCTGTCATATCGCCATGGCAACGAGTGCCACCTATTTGATGCAATGCTTATTTATACTTATAGTTCCACTTTCAAGTGGCTGGCTTGATCTTATTGTGTGACTCATCTGCCAGCAGGGCTTCAGGTGGCTTGAGTGAAAGACTCAGACTCGTATCCTGTTTAGATACTAATAATTACACTTTCAGGAGAAATATAAGAGTCAGAACTCCACTTTTAAATCGTAGAGAACTAAAGGAATAGATTTTAAAACACAGTGGAGTGTTTATTCTGCTGGTGTCAAATAGAGGAAAGT